CCCACCGGTGTTGCAACACGATCGAACCAGCTCAGAGACGCGTCCGATGGCCGAGCAAACCGGCGCCAGTCACCGCACACCGATTCTCTCCTCGAACGATCGAACGGCGCGACGTCGACACGGCGAACAGCTGCGTCCCTACTAATACTTTGCTCGATCGAGACGGGCGTCGTGCTCTCTCGATACTCTCCACGCGTTATCGATCCGCAACGAACCGCGAAACACCCATAGGTCGCACCCACCACGCGGTACACGATACGCGACAATCATCCTACCTATGCTCTCTCTCTCTCTCTCTCTCTCTACACATCTAGAGAATCGGAGTACAGTCGTGATCGTTTGAACGGAAACACCGTGACCGAGATCGGCCACGCTAGATTCCAGATTATCCTGCTGCTTTATGCGTCATTCATTCCTTCCCCTCTCCTCCCTTTCCCCATCTTTATCCCCTTCTAACCAGCAGCCCTCTTGGCCCCTCGTTCTATCTTTCTCCCACCGGTGTCCTCCTTCTCCTTACGTCATATATTCACCGAATGACGCATCGTCGCTATAGTAGTAAACAAACGAAAATCGCCGACCGTGTATGAGTACAATCGATGCGATCATCGGTTGCCGATCTACCTACATGCATACATTTCCGACGCAATTAAATTACCGGTGAAGGAAGGAGCCAAGGTTTTATCGCGAATGCGGTTTTACTTAACCCAGCGGAATCGATTCTTTGTCTCCTCGCATGGGTTGTAAGATAGAGGGATTTACGGTTCGTAGAAATCGGGTCGCGATCGTAACTCGCGAAATGACGCGATGAATCTATAAATAACGCGAAGAAAGTATCAGAACTCGATGCTGTCCTACTGACTCTGGGCTAGCTAACACGCTTGCTTTTCTTTTTTTCTTTCTTCAGGAGAAAGGAAAGTAGTCTGCAACTACGACTCAGATTGGGCGTATACTTTTTATTGTTTCGTCATTCATTTACATACAAATATTTTCAAGATACGTCTTAAGAAACAGTGTGTGTTCGGAGTATCGGTTCATCAGACCTGTCTGTCGTTAACTAACGCTGCTAATTGTATTTTTTTCTTTTTTTCTCTTTTCTTTTTTCGTACAAATCCTTTTCTCGCACATTTGTCGCTTAAAACACTAATGAAATACGCTACGCGGCTTCGTCGAGCTTCTCTTCGATGAGTCTAGGATAACGTTCCGTCGTTGTCGTTGTAAGTGTTTGCGGTTGAGTCACCGGGATCACGATAGTTTTACGAAGGGACGAGATATCGACGTTTTCTCGTATCTAGTCACGCCGGTTTTATTGGCACAGCAGGAGGGCGCGGTTCGCGAAACGTCGCTAGATCATCCCCGCTTCGTGTATCGAGACCGTCTCTCCTCTCGTTTTCTCTCTGTGAAGGCTGCTTATATTACGTTCTTTGATTGCCATACGTTCTTCAATGCTTGCTTTTCCCCTTTTCTACGTCGATTTACATACATACAGATAAACAACGACGGGAAACGGCGACGAGACTCGACGATCAATTAAGAAATCACGCAAACTTAAGGTATTGCTCGCACGCACGCCTCTCTTTCTGTGTGTGTGTGTGTGTGTGTGTGTGTGTGTGTGTGTCTGCATGCGTGGCATGGATGCACGTGTAATATAGAAATCGTTGTTTCGGACAGAAAGACCAAGAAACAGCGAGCGCGTTATCGAACTTGGGATGGAGGGGAAGTTGGCGAGTTATTTAATAAAGAAAAAAGTATTTCGACCTCTCGTTGCCGCTGCGTCGCACTTAATACATAAAATAGCGTTTCACTCGTTATTCTTTATATCATACGTGTATTTGCTTGCTGCTGATACATTAATTATAATACACACCGTTTAATAATGGCCCTGGACACGGTTTTATCTCTTTCGCTCTCTCTCTCTCTCTCTCTCTCTCTCACGATTCGGATAGATCTGACGTTGATTCGATCGTCGGTGTCACGAAAAGCAACGTCGTCGATCCGTTTTTTTTTTTTCTTATTTATCGCCATGCTCTCTTCTTGCGCTTCTTAAATAATTTTCAATCGTAACAAACACTCTTTTTTTATGTTCGCGCGTTTTTTACTTGTCATATTAAAATTATCCATATATGATGTATGTATATATAAATATACATATGTTAAATATAATATAAATGCATCTAATACTAGTCGCTTTTTTCCCCTCGATTAGCTGTTCTCTCGTACCCCGTGCGATTCACCTTCTTTTCTTTTTTCTCCCCCTTTACGTTCATCGAGCGTGTACCACTGCCGCGCCCAAACTTTTCCCTTCGAATTTCCCCTCCGCCCGCCCCACATTTCTCCCCTTCTCACACCGTTTCACTTTGCACCACTACATCAAGTGCGCGGTTCGCGAGCACGCATACAGATTTACACGCTGATACACAAACTCTCTCTCTCTCATGCACACGTGCACTCTCATACCTGTTCCCCACCTGGTTTTGTTTGATCGTTTAAAAAACTTAGTTTCCGCATCTTCTGAACGAGAGCACATCGTCGTCGAATCGTTGTTCGTCATTAAAAGCCCGAGCAAAGCAACGTGATCGCAAAGACCATTTTTATCCGTGGAAAGCTTAAAAAGTAGAGTAGAAACGAGAAACCATTCGGTAAAATATGTAAACGCCGAGAAACGTGGAAAAATTGGAAAAATTGTACAATTCCGGTGGAATATAAATACATATAATCGACTGAGCGGAATGTCTTCTTCTTCCCCCCCCCCTTTTTTTTTCTTTTTTTATTAACGTGGAAACTGCGCCGAATGGCAAACAGGCTTGCCGGAATTTTTCTTCCTTTTCCACTTATCGTTATACGGTAAAAGAGTATCGTTTTATTCAGTTCAGCCGGCCTGTGATATATACTTACGCCGTGTATCGGTAATCATTGTAAAATGATCGATCGTCTTGTCGAGCTTTCTGTGATATCGCTCGGTGCTTCCTTTACACCCGCGCGACTCCGTTAATATAAAATTATGCAAATACGTTCAAGACGACCGATCGGTTAAAGAGATCGAACGCGGAATTACAATTCGTGCAATAGTGCGCGATTCGATGGAGAGAAGTGATCAGAATGAAATGATAAAGTGAATCGCGTTCACAAAGGATAGTTTTGTGCGGAAACGTGTTGTATAAATACCATTGATATACATATGTATATATATCGAGGCAGAAATCGTACCGAGAAATAAAACTAATCCCATGGAATATTAATAGAGAGTATCGGCGGTCAATATTTTTTATCGTTACTTTTCTTAGACGACTAGAAGTTGAGATTAAAAATTTAGTTTGATAATACTTAACGTTATCTTTGCGTTCTTAATCAGTGCGTTAATTTAGTAGTCAGTCGTTACAGATCCATCTTACGAGAAACAAAAAGAAGAAAAGAAAAAATTACAAAAAAAAAAAAAAAAGCGAATGTTTCAATGTGATGATTTATTCGCGTCTATAGCAACGCCATTCGTATTTATCATCGTCCACCCGAATGACGTTGATAGCGCGACGCTGTTTGTGAAATATCGTTCGAAAAATGGCCACGATTATCGTCTTTTTTTCTTTTTCTTCTCACTCACCTCCCTCTTTTTCTCTATCCCTTCTTTCTCTCTGCCTCTCCACCCTTTCTTTCATCATCATTCGTTCGCTCTCTCTCTCTCTCTCTCTCTCTCATTCTTTCTCTCTTTCTCCGATTTTTATTTTTGGTAAATGCAATAAATGCCAATAAGCCGGTGCAGATCAGCGTATATACGGCTATATTATAGATACATAGAATATATATGAACTGCAACGTTAATTTTTTTTCTTCTCATTTTCCGTGAGAATCGTACGAGAGACGATAAAAAAATATAAGAACGGAGAGTAGTATACAATATCGGTAGCAAACATGATCGCCCTGTCATGCATCGAATTTTGAATTTATAGCGATCGATGATGCGTAGTAAATATAAAATCGATGTGTAATCCTTTGTCGATCGGATTAGTTACGTGTATCCTCGTACATGGAGAGTTCGCGATACGAATTTCTCTCGAATCGATTGAAAATCCCATCGGTATTGTTTTAGTATGTGTGTTCTGTGTTTGTTTCTGTGTGTGGCAGTCGATCGATGATCACTTTATTCTATTCTATTCTGTTTTGCGGTACCGAAACATTTTGACTTGGAATGTAACGAGCTGTGCGTATTAATGGAATCTGTACATGGAAGTGGTGGTACGGTACGAAAAAATTCAAGTGAGAGATTCGATGTTGCAAATGTTGAAAAATCTGACGTGCATTACGAATAGAGAACCAGCAGCTAATGCCCAAATAGAAAGAATGAAATTGCACCACGATCGCGGAAAAAATTCAATGCACGTTCTTTTTTCCTTTTTCTTTTTCTTTTCATTTCTGGTATACTTTAGATGCATCTCAGACTAGAGGAATCTCTTTGTAATTCTTTGTTTGTTCTTTTTTACGTATCTATCGCTCGGTTCAGTTCCGTGATATTTACATATAAATGCAAGTGTGTCTTTCATTGTGCGTGGGACCAGCATTACGTTACATCACGTTAGGTTGCTCGATTTAACTCTACGAATAATACATTTGTGGAGAAAAAGGGGCACGGTAATCGTCGTCAATCAAAAAGAAAATTGTACGATACCACCGAAGATTAATACGCATGCGAACGTAGATGATCCGAGGTGTGTGTGTTGTGCATCGAATTGGCAGAATCAGAATCGGTTTTTATCCAAAGTCGTCGTCGTCGTCGTCGCTCGCCACTCATCTGGCGAGCAACGAAGGGTACGGTTCACTTAGAACACTAGGTTAGATATAACGTACTTACACACAAACATGTCTGATATACATGGGATACAACTACATTCCATTTTCGCGAATACGTAGTAAAAAAAATCTCGTGTACGGCTTGTCGATGATCGTTTCGGCTGACCTACACAGTAGTAGAATCCCTCATTTCTTTTTCTCCGTTTCACTTCAAACTGGTCCTCGTCGCATCTTTATCTTCTACTCAGTTCCGCTCTGACAGCTGAAAAACGCCAAGAGGAGAATATATGAGCAAACCTCTGGCATACTTTCCTATCGATCTGCATCATTTTAATGGTCTTTACCATCTATAATTTCCTGCTTCATCTTCTGGATTTCTTTGCGCACTTCCTTGATAATTTCCGCCTTGAACGCCTCCAATTCTTGAGCAGTGAGGGCAGCCCCATCGTTTACGCCGTTTACTTTCAGAAGAGTATCCTCGGAGGCAGAACCAAACCTCTTGCGAACCGATTTCGGAGATTCGGCACCGTTCGAGAATTTATTGTTCGAAGAATTGTTCTTGTCCCATGATTTTTTATCAGGCGAACTCTCAGGTTCCTATTGAGAAGAATAGAAAATCAAGTAATAACAAACGTTATCTAGCGAGATTAAATCTACGACGAACGGTATAATACCTGTGGCTGTTCAGGTTGTTTCTTTTCAACAGCAGCTCGTCTACGAGCCAAAGTTTTAGCCATTTCATCCATCATAGACGCCATACCGCCTCCTCCCCCCCTTCCCAGCGTGCCATAATTTCCGCTGCTTCCAGCACTTCCGCTGCTGCTAGTGCTCGAACCACTGTTTTCCACCGGCTGTTGCGCTGACTAAAAGCAAACGAAAAATAAGGAAAAGATAAGAGCAGCAAATCGGATAGGAAACGGAAACCAAATACTTCCAGGCGAACAAAACGAACCTGTTTCTTTTTAAGACGAGTCGCCTGAATTGCAGCAGCCAACGAATTCGAATCCGGCGACGGTTCGTTATTCGTAGCAGAACTCACAGGGCCAGAAGAGACAGGAACTGAGGGAACAGGGCCAGAGGGAACAGGGGCAGAGGGAACAGGGCCAGAGGAAACTGGGCCAGAGGAAACAGGTCCAGAGGAAACAGATCCAGAGGAACCAGATCCAGAAAGTGAACTGAGGTTGATAGCGTTGAGTTTGGGGGCAGGTGGCGGAGGAGGCGGCGGTGGAGCAGCAGGACCAGCCAGCGGTACCATAGGGGGTGGTTGAGGAACTGCGTTACCAGCAGGAGCATAAATATTAATATTAACCGGTGGCGCGTGGAGACCACTTGCAGCTGCAGTTCCGCCACTAGCAGCACCACCTCCGCAGCTAGCAACGGTGCCACCTGCACCGCCACCAGTGCTGCTATACTGATTCACCGAGTTCGACGGTGTTCCATAAGGGTTCGTGGTGTTCGAGACAGCCTGTATCTGACTGGTCCCGTACTGTGGTTGTGTCTGAGGCACGGTACTGTACTGAGACTGATTCGGCTGGCCGACGCCCACGTTCATGCCAACACCTACTCCGTACTGACCCGTCGTCGCAGTACCGCTACTGGCATACTGGCTAATCGAGTTGCTGCTCCCATACTGATTCCCAGCGGCACCACCACCACCACTACCACCACCGCCCCCGTACTGACTCGGTTGACCGGGTTGTCCACTAGGATACGCGTTACCGACTTGCCCGTTGTTACCGTAAAAGTTGTTCTGATTAGCGGAGGAATACTGACACGGGCTCTGACCAACCACGCCGGCGGTTGCGTACTGACTATTGTTTGGCGCGGCTCCGTACTGATTTCCCTGACTTGTGCCGTAGATCGATTGCGGCTGAGACTGATTCGGCAGGTTCGACTGTGAAGACGGGGATTGCGCGTACTGGTTCATCATCATCGGAGGCGGTGGTACCGGTGCGTTGAAGTTCATCATAGCTGGTGGACACGGTGGAACCGCGGACGCTATTGGAGGCTGAGGAGGCGGTACCGGCGGAGCACCTCCACTGGACATTTGTCCTGCGTTAGTTCCTAGACCACCGGTGACTACTTGCATAGACTGCAACACCGTTTGTTGTTGGGGCTGAGGAGCTGGAGGTGCCGAAGAGGTTCTATGGTGACCGGATTGTTGCGGTTGTTGCATAGGCGGTTGTTGTTGCTGTTGCGGTTGGTGCTGTTGCTGTTGGAGTTGCGGGGGTTGTGGCGGGGCTGGCGGTTGCGGTTGTTGTTGCTGTTGTACGGATTGTTGCGGGGGTTGTTGCTGAGGCTGTTGTTGTTGCGAGGGTTGTTGTTGTTGTTGTTGTTGTTGTTGTTGCTGCTGCTGTTGCTGCTGCTGCTGCTGCTGCTGCTGCTGAGATGCAAGGGGACAGCTAGGGGAAATTGCGTTTGGACTATTGGTTGCTGTAAAGAAAATAACAATTAAAAATCGTCCTTTCGTTTTATCATATTTTTCCATCAGACCTTACCTTGACTTTGTTGAGACATTCTACGTTCCTGAATTATCGCCACATCTTCTCTGGTCATGGTTCTGGAGAAGAAATTTTTTCAATGTTTTATATTTTTCCAATACTTTCTTTTATTTTTCCACGAATCTACGAACCTGTATCCCATGTCCTCGTCGTATTGAGCATTGGTGGGTTGCTGTTGCTGAAAGACGGGTTGCTGCTGTGTCGCTGAGGCAGGTGCAAGACTTCTCGATATGTTGCTTCCATTGCTCAACACCTACGTTAAATATCAAAAGGATTACTAAATCAAGCGTATCGGGAACTTGGTCTATATCGATAGCTGTTGGTAGAAGCGCAACACGGGGCTTATTAGTACGCGTTAGCTGACACTTCTGTTTCCCTGCTGTTTTTTTCTGTTTCTGTCGTTGTTTAAACTCACATCGAGCGCTTGCAGCATCGCTCTGGCAAATGCGTCGGCGTCGTCCTTACTGGAGAAATTCAGACCGTATACTTGCTTGTTATCTCGCCATTGATGAAACGTGACTGTTGCTTGATTGTATTTCAGTCCCTTGAGGATCGCGCAGTTGATGACGATCTCGTGATCCTGCAACTTTCTTCCCACCACGCGAAACGTATTGTTCACTTGGTGATGATACAACTGAACTTTGGAGAGTCCTGACGAACTGCCACTCGGTACCCATTTTTTATTCACGTCGTCATACACCATTACCGACGCACGAGCGGACGATATGCTCACTTCGCTGTAACATAATAAAACAAAAAAGGATATCACGTTCCAGCGTTGCTCTCTAACACACACCACGTCACACTGCCATATTTTCCTTTATCTCGCACCGTGATAAATCGAAAGATTGGTTAAAGAAGAAGAAGAAAAAAAGAAAGAAAGAAAGAAAGAAAGAAATGCTCTACCACGATCGATATTCTTCCGGAAGGATTTGCTGCGGTCGGCGTGAATTCGAGTATCGCCTCATCGTTTGGCCGTTTGGAAATCGTCGTATAAGAAATCGCTGGTGATCTTTCATGCATAAGATTATTAAACGAGAACTCGGAATCCGTGGTAAAATGTTACGCTTGGTGTCACTTTCACCGTGCCACGGTCCACGTTAAAACAGCCACGAGCCGCTCGCGAAATGAGAACAGAACGAAACGGAATACGAAAAGTTACTGCCACTTCCTCCTTTGCTCGGCAAGTACGATCAGACAAGACCGAGCACTGCGATAACAGCCAGAGTTGTATCCGCGACACGCGTGGCTTTTCCACTCGTTTCCATTCTTCTCGTGTGTTTCAATTCTCAATTCTCAATTCTCAATTCGAACAAGTTTCACGGAACAATTCGGAGAAATAGAAAGTGTCGAATGTGATTAATCGTCGATCGAGATTTTCGAGGAAAAAGAAATAAATCTCAGCCGTGGCAAAAGTTAACGAGAATAATCTAAGCTAACATCCGCCACTCGAAATCTCCGTGACACAGAAGATGACGCTATTCTTTCGCGTTATTTGTGTAAGTGGTAGAACAGAGGTTCGCGTCACTAGCCTGTCACGATCATGTTACCGTGTAACCCTTTTCTTCTTGCCCTTAACTCTCTCTCTCTCTCTCTCTTGAAACAACAGACATTGTTAGAATTTTACTAGAACGAGAATTAGTAGACGAGAGTTCACGTATGTTTAAAAAGAAAAAAGTTTCAAATCACATCGAACGCGATATGAATCCGATTCTGACTCACGGATTTGCGTAGAAATGTTATCGCGTTAAATTCATCGATAGCTTTTTTCTATTAATCGATAATAAGCTGTCTATTGGGTGAATCAACGTGCACAGATTTCGACACACCGTAGTGTTGCACACTGACACATCGTTTTGACAGGTTTTCAAAGAAATACTTTTCCATGCGAACGAACGAGAAAAATTGCAACAAGGAATTTTTGTTCGCGGGAGAAACAGTGAAAATACGCGCGTGCGTGCAGCCGATCGCTCGTCTAACATAAACAAATGCGTTCGGTGAACATTTCCGTAGGACGCTTTCGTTCTTTATCGTGTGCATATACACGCGCACACAAGTTCAGTTTAGATAAGGATAATCCGAAGAAGCATGTATATGTGAGAGCGTTGGCTGGACATAAAAGGGATAGGGAAGAAGCAAAGGTAGCGAAGAGGCTCCGTTTGCGTTTACGATACACAAAGGCGTCGAAACGCACGAGGCTCGACTATTTGGAAGCGTATCAGAGATACCTTCCGGCGAGCACACCGAAAACGAAGCAACGGATGCGTGAAAAGAATACTCGAATAGCAGGGACGCAGTTGAGAAGGGTGAAAGGACTGACACGTTTGGAAATATTCCATAAAAAATCGTCACGAAGCCCTGCCCTGTGCGACTCCTAACTTAAGATTCTCTCCTCTCTCGAGAAATTTGAACGCCGAAAGAACGATACATCGTGTTGATGGACAATGAAAAGATCATTGCGGCAGAGTAACGAGAAATTCTCAACTATCGAATGAATCTGTTGGTAGCCGGAGGCATAAACAATGGTCGAAGACAAAAAGAAGTGGCTTGAACCCATATACCGGACTCGACTCTATACGAACTCTCGACCCTCTCTCTCACTCGATGCTCTATCGTATACGTGGAACTTACTTCATGTTTGTTTGACTCGGAAGCGTATGCTATGCCTTCATGCAAGCCGTATTCCTGCTTCTGCACAGTATATCACCGATTCCATGAAAACACGCGAGATTCGGGCAGGATTTGCGGTAGTTCGACATAAATAACGTACGGCACTAACACCACCCCAACACCCTACCTATGCACATCTGGCCAGCCATATTGCCGACTCCAGGCCCGTACTCCTACCACCCTTCGTCTCGATGCACACGTTTACCTAGAGGGAATACTCGAATTGCGAACGTTAGTACCGTACTGCCATTTTTACTCGTCCCTCCCTACCTTTCGTTTCATTCCTAGAAAAGGGAAATACTTGCAAATTTACAAATAATCCGTTTCGTTGTTCATTTTTAACGTAGAAAGAGGGTTCTATGGGTCTGGAATCTCGAACCCTGATCAGATGACGCATTAGATATTGCGCAATTTCAAATTCGATAATCGATGTCAGATTATCGATCTAAATCTGATTCGAAAATGTCGCAGTATCGATTATATTGATTTATCGAAAGTAAATCGACGAATGTAACTGCAATTACGAAGTAGCGACGAAATATATCGCAAATCGTCCAACTGTAAAATCGGAGTATTCGTAGATTGCTGTGAATAGGAATTCTTTAGGAGAAAGTGTTTTCAATTACCGGATTAGGAAATAAGAAGAAAATGTGTCAATTCTTGGTGATTATCCAAAAGGACGAAGGTGGTATGAATTAAAGTACGTTACAAAGGAGCCTGTGTAGAGATATACGAATGTACATATATGCCTTCCTCGTTGAATATATTGCCAACGGCGTACCAATCACTCCAGCATCCAATTTTGATCCTTTGGAAGACGTGATATACGGTTTCTGTTAAATTTTAGAGGGTAACTGAAGAAAGTTAGAGTTTCGTATGAACCGCTGAGTTAAATTAATGATAGCATTGAACATCAGATGGCGCGGCAATTTGAGTTCTACTTGAATACACGGGAGTTTCCACGGGCCCTGTCGGCGACGCACCTGGCGCATCGACCGAGAAACAGAAACAGCTGTCTGTTCGAAGGAACTTGGAGAATATCGTTGGTTAATCGTCGATCCAGAACCGTGTGGATCTTGGTTTCGTTATTAGTGGAATGCGAAGTAACGAGGTCTCAGGGTATCGTGTCTGTCATCAAACGCGTACTAGCCTGCCCCTTGCTTCACCAACTCTTTACCGCTTTAGGCGGTCGCTTCGACGATAACGTGTTTGCCTTTTATTTTTCCGATTTCTACGATCCGGAACATTTCTTCCCCTTCCTCCCTATTTTTCTCTCCTTCTCTCTTTACCCTCTCTCACTCCTTCCGTGTCCCCACTTGCTCATTCTCGCGCTCTCTCCCTCTCTCCTTCTCTGTTTCTCTCTCAAATTCGCCGTTTCTCCGTCTCTCATTTTCCCTCTCTCCTCAATTCTGTGTTCCTCTCGAGATCTGTGTGCTTCATCGACGATGTAAACAGACTAATATTTTTTGGAGAAAATCCACAAATTTCTGCTCCAATTTGTCCTGCTACACACTCGCCTGCTACTGTTATTGCTCCGACTACTGTTAAGCGTGCACGAAAATGACGCACCTATAGGTGAAATACGCGCGCATCAACAAGGCAGCATTTCTTTCGATGACATCGTCTTTGGTCGCTTACGATTCGTGGGATAACAGTCGCATATATCGAGAGAAAGGTACGCGTAATTTTTTCAGAATCTCGATTTCCCTTCCGATCCTCGTTCTTCGCACGAGGTTATAGATAAGCATTCTCCCGCGCTACGGAGCACACGGGTGTGTAAGACGTGAAACGTCGAATCAGGATCAAAGTTAAGTGACCTCGCATTGTGATAGGTTTGATCTCGATAAGTGGTTCGAATTTTTCGCAAATGTGACGATAATTAGTGGGAAAAGGAATTGGAAGAGAATTTTAAAACAGTCATCTGTAGTTCTACTGTGCCATGATCTCAACAGCAACACTCCATAGCCTCTAGTACCATTTTGTTCACTTTACTATTATCCTTACCCCTTCTGTCCAGTGTGCTAATTATTTCTTTAACCTTGCACCAATCCCTCGTGCTTTGATCTTACTTTTGCTATTCTCTCCACTTAGGCTTATAATTATGTTAATTTATCTTGTTCACAGCAATAAGATTTCTTGTATTTGTCCTTACAGTGTTCTCGTTGCACACAAAACATAATCCCATGCACTTATTGAGCAATGAAGGAGTTATTGGTAGACAGTACCAAGTGAACATGGATGTTCCATTAAAAAGTCCAACGGTTAAGCATTAAGCATATTAGAGATATGCTTCGCACGATCAAGAAAAGGACTAAATGAATGAACAAAATTATAAGGAATGATATTCTATTCGAGCCTATTGGATGTTAGATAAGCAGAAAAATGTCTGGTGATTCAGGATGGAGTGCTGTTATTCACCATCCTTCGGAATTAGAGCTACAGAATTGGAATTGGGAAGAGAACGATGGGGAGCAGGAAAGGGAGCTCCCTTCAACTGTTGATATGGATGCCATAAAGGGTGGTGGTAGCTGGGATCCAACCACCGAACCTAATGGTAGAGATGCATTCAATTTCTAGATTACGTAATCCATTTAAGATAGATATTTTTGTCATTGAATGTTTCCACGTGTGTTAAGGAACAGATTCAGTTGATTCAGAAGAAGATTCTGATTCCGACGACGAAAGCTCTGGCGGTACGGAGGGTAGTTGCTCTTACTCGGACTCTAATTCAGATTCGGACGACGAGAGTAGCGGCGACGAGGAAGAAGACACGGGATCCAATTCTGATTGTACTTCGGAACACAGCGAGCAAACATTTTCCATTCAGGAGACAAATTTCGAATCGGTACGCGCGTTAGAATTGTTACCTCGTTCTCGTTATTTCCGGTACTTGAAAAGTGTAGCAACACTTCCATAGAATTTCTAATTACGTTGCAGGGTGCGCTTAAATTAAAAATCAGTATGAAAGGTCCGAAAAAGGAAGATTTGGAAAAAGTAAAATGCGAGAAAAGTAGGAGAAGCGTGTCGAAAAAAGTGAAAACCAGTCGCGGAGGGAAGGTAATTTGTATGAAAGTATTCTAAGCAGAAATTATCGAACTGCAAATGTTTCTCTTTGGTAGAGGTACATTTTATCACTCTCCGTCTTGTTTAGTCGTCCGAATGCAGCAGCGACGAGTCTGACTCGTCAGAGAGTCGCTTAACTTCGCAGCAACAGCAGCAGCAGCAGCAGCAGCAGCAGCAACCTCAGACGCAGCAGTCTCAGCAGCAGCAACAGCCACAGCAGCATCCACCGCTTCAGGAGATCAATCAGGAAGATCTAGCAGCTATTTTACCGGATCAGGAGCACGAGGATGCACCGTTCGATGGATTCGAGGATTCAGAGAGCGGGAGGCTAGTATCGAAAGCTATCGAACGCATGTCACTTGGTGCTGACTCGGATACGAGTGAAAACGGTGACCAGAACCCTGTACCTGTGTATAGTTCCACCTTATTACAACAGTTTGTTGAGAAAACGGCTTTGTTATCAGAACCAAGAAAAAGGCGGAGTAAATTAGGGAAGAAAATAAACGATGCCGAGTATCCTTGCGTCTCGAACGTGTCTCCAGATTCTGGGATCCAGTCAGTAGATAACAGTCCGTTACATTTGGCGGTTAGTCCTGTAAGTCCTCCAGCACCGACGCAGTCTCCGGTACAACCTGTTGTCACGAAACCAGCGGTGAACGTAGATCGTGTCTTATATCCACCTAAACGAAAGCCTGGCAGGCCAGCGAAAACGGTTTCCACGCAACCTCGTGGTCCAGGAAGGCCGAGGCTGAAGCCAGAAATCGTGGAAAAAATCGAGAAGATCGAGAAGACAGAAAAAGCTGGAAAGAATGAGAGGACGGAGAAGAAGGAGTCCGCTCCTCAGCAAGCTCCTAAAGTCCCCAAGGAGGAAGTTAATAATAAGAGAGGGAAAGCGAAGACGGTGCCGCAGAAAACGGCTACGTCTCGAGGCGATAAAGAGGAGGAGAACAAATCTAATAAAAAATTGAAGGAGAAACCAGGTTGTCAGAAGAAACGAAGTTGTAATGTTTCCAAAGTATCTACGCAGACGAAAGTAACTGGGAAGAGGAATAACGCAAGTTCCCCAGCGCGTGTCAAGTGCCTAAGTAGAACTGTTACGAATAAGTGTGGAAAGGAGGGAGCTCAGTGCAACGGTGGCACGTGTAAGAAGATGAGGAAGGATAAGCCTGGACCAGGGAATAAGACCACTCCGTTACGCAGACAGAAGCAGTCGGTTTGCGAGCGGGTGTCTAGTGATAGGAAAGTAATGAATTCGAGTAAGAGGAGTCTGAAGGAGAATAGAAGCAATACTGGCCCTTTGGCTAAGAGACAGGCGTCGTTGAAGAAGAATGTCGCGCCGGTTACGCGACGTGTATTGAAAGAAAATAAAAGTACTAAAAAATCCGGGGCGGGGTTCGAAACGAACGGCGTTGGCGTTCAGACTTTAATATCTCTACCAGTTGGCGAGGTATTGAAGTCTGAAAAAGTGGAGAACGTGACGAACAAGTGCGACAAGGCGACACAGCCAATACACAGTCATTGTCATAAACACCATCACCACAAGCATCGAAGACGATTACTCCTACCACCTAAAAATCCTATCCGCATTCATCCGTGTCTGATACAGGAGTTGGAAAAATTGATAGAAGAGTTCTCGAGATCGTGCAGCTTAGGTAGGAACAATTCGAACTCCGGCTACTCCGAATTACCACAAATATTTCGCGTGAAGAAGCTGACGAAGAAGAGGAAAGGAGATGTTACTACGAACGATGACCAGAAACTGAAGAGGCGCTTGAAGAAGGAGAAGATACTGTCGGGAACAGATTCGAAGAATAGCACGAATGCAAACGCGAATTCCAATCCGAATGAGCAGAGATTACCATTGAAGAAGAGGCATTACCACGTGTCCAGCCCTCACAGTTCTCAGAGTTCGAACGCGAGTGGCGCGGACGTGGCCATAAACGAAGTGAATTCGACGGAGAGTCACATAGAAGAGGCGATCGAAGCTACGATAACGAGATACGGAGGCAGTTCTGCGTCCTCCTTTCAAGAAGACTCTGTACCTGTTACTCCTAAGAAGAGACATAGAGATGCAGAGAATGCAAGTCCTGATAAATCGAGTGCAACGTCTTCCGACTTGCTCGAAGAGAAGCCCCTGAGTCAAATAGAAGTACAACCACGTCGTAAGAAGAAAATCGTGAAAGATCTTCGCGTGACGGTCACGAAATTACCTGCTGAAAGTCATAGCGCTTTGGAGAAGGCCGAGAAATTGGACAAGGCTGAGAAAGCTGATAGCAAAGTCGAAAAAAGTTCCAGCGATTCCAAGAACACGAAAAGTCGAGCAGAGAAAAGCGGCAAAGGCGAGAAAGTGGTCGCTGAAAAATTAATAAAGACAGACAAAAGTCAGGATAAGGTTGAGAAAAGGGATATTTCACCAGACCACGTTCGTCTGGAGAAAAATATAAAGGTCGACGCTGCAGAATTTAATGCAACGGAGAGCTTCGACGAGAATGAAGCTGCGAATGAAACGAAACCATCGCAAAATAGTCTCAACCCTAATGTTCCAAATCCCTTGAATTCCTCAACTGTATTAGTTTTGACCAAGAAGAAAATGAGACGGCGGAAAGCTATAAATCGTACAGGTTTTCCAACGTTAAAAAAAAAGAAAAAGAGATCCTTGAACGCGAACGAAACATCGACAGATGCGTCAAAAAGTGTAGCTTTAGCCAGCGAAGATGGCACAGACGTTGTCGATGGTGAAAATTCAACGAAAGAGGGAACCGAGGATTCTGTAATGGAAAGTAAAACAGCTGTATTAAATACCGAGATACAGAACGTATTTTCTGACGAGCTATCTATCAAACATGTCAATAACAACGTCGTACAGAGTAAAGTTCAATCTAAAGCTGATACAAATTCAAATCAGGAAGACTCCGGTTCACCAAAGCCAGAAGTAAACAGTCGTGTTAGGCCTGAGGAACTCTCTGAACCTCGTTCTGGTCAATTGAGGGTTCGAAAAGATCTTGTAGAAACAGATAGCGACAATGCATCGAACAAATTGTGTCCGGTTAAGTTTGAAAAAATTCAGGACTCTAAACCTTACGATGAAAACGCTCCTCTAGAAGAATCTCTCGAAAGATACAATGCGAATCAACGTATCGCTGAATTAAATGAGGAGAATGTAAAGAAACTTGAGCGTGTCAGTTCTCAGACAAATATCAAGACAGAGCACTCTGGTTCTTTCAATGGTAGCCAGAAAAAGCGAAGGGGTTCTTCGAGTCCCTGCAATTTAACTCCCAGAAACATTAAACGTCTACGTAGTTCCGGCTACGATACGGAAAATGACATCATGCCTAACAGCGACATCCTCAACGACGATAATGAGGTTGGAAAGAATTCAACGCATACCAGGAAAAAACAGTCTAGATGGAAGAAACGATATTTACAAGGTGGCATCTTGCAAGAGTATGGTAAAGATTTCGAATCGAAAACACGGGGTACCATGGAGAATAGCAATGTCTCTGGGAAGAACAAAATCGTATGTGAAACTAACGAATCTGCATCAGCCGCGCTATTATCTGCCACGTATCAGTGTGGCAAGTTTCTGCGACAGAGAAAAATGCCTTTTCAATTGCCGTACGATTTATGGTGGCTGCATACGCAATCTAGATTACCTAGTAGAGAATCAGTTCCATCATGGAATTATAAGTAAGGATAAAATTTTCACATTATATTGTTACTTTTTTTTTTTTTTTTTTTTTTTTTTTTTTTTTTTTTTTTTTTTTTTTTTTTTTTTTTTTTTTTTTTTTTTTTTTTTTTTTTTTTTTTTTTTTTTTTTTTTTTTTTTTTTTTTTTTTTTTTCTTCAGACTACAGGAACATTTTGATTTTTTTTTTTTATAGGAAAATTCGTACAAATGTCTATTATGACGTGAAACCCACCACCTTATACGAAGCGCAAGCTTGCGAGTGCAAGCCAGAAAGTGGTTGCGGAGACGATTGCATCAATCGCATGGTTTTCAGCGAATGTTCTCCTCAGCTTTGTCCCTGTGGCGAGAAATGCGAAAATCAGAAAATTCAGAAGCACGAATGGGCACCTGGTTTGCAAAAGTTCATGACAGAAGACAAAGGTTGGGGCGTGAGGACTCAGCAGTCCATCAAATCTGGTGTCTTTATTCTCGAATACGTTGGGGAAGTTGTATCAGAAAGGGAATTCAAGTCTAGAATGGCTACCAGGTAGGTTTCGAACGTGTACAGTATTTTTAAATACGTTGAACATTTCTTTCAACTTTATTTTCTGTTGTTTTAATATCTAATAGATATGCTAACGATACCCATCACTATTGCTTGCACCTCGATGGAGGTCTGGTGATCGATGGGCATCGTATGGGTGGCGATGGAAGATTTGTAAACCATTCTTGCGAACCTAACTGCGAAATGCAGAAGTGGAGCGTTCATGGTCTTCCGCGTATGGCGCTATTTGCTTCTAGAGATATTAAACCAGGAGAAGAATTGACATACGATTACAACTTTGCTCTTTTCAATCCATCTGAGGGACAAGAATGTAGATGTGGTAGTAGCGCTTGCAGAGGTGTCATAGGTGGAAAGAGTCAAAGGGTTACAAAAAGTATTACTTCCATTCCGTCGCAATTAGAGCCGACAGAGAGACGATCGGTCGGAAGACCGAGGAAAAACGTACGAAAATCCAATACAGTACAATCCGTGAACTCTAAAGGCATTTGCAAATCCCGTAAAGTAGGCGATTCTAATTTAATTCACGCCCCCGTACTGAAACCCATGTCTCATCAGCAACGATGCTTCGCTCAGCAGCATCATTGCTTCTTGTTGAGAAATTTGGAGAAAGTTAGACGAGTCAAATCGTTAGTAAATCAAGTACAAATGCAAAATGGTAAAACGAAATTCGGTAACGCGACTACCGTGAAAGAAAAGGGTCCAGGTGATGCTAAGATTCAGTCTGATGCATTTTACTCGCAATTAACTGCTCTGACTAATACAAATACAAGAACTGTGCGAACTCGAAGGCTAGCTCAAGCCCAAGATGATCCAGAAGTGCATAAAACTGCAAAATTGGCTAAGGTGTTGAAAGATCTGTACAGTATCGTGGTGAATGCGAATGATGAAAACGGCCAGTTATTATGTACACCATTCATAACGTTACCTTCGAAGAGAAAGTTGCCAGACTACTACGAAAAAATATCTGATCCCACAGACTTGACTACGATCGATCAGTGTATTGGTACAGGCCATTATAAAACCGCCGAACATTTCGATCACGATATGATTAAGCTTTTCGACAACAATGTTAGATTCTTTGGAAGAACCTCAGAAATAGGTATTGCTGCAGCTAGATTGAGAAAATTATATTTAGGAAGTAAACCAGATTTCGTAGACGCTATTACGGAAGCGACGGGTTGTCCACCTTCACAAGGCTTTTTACCTCCTCGTGGTTCGACTGCGGGCGAAGAAGATGTCATTAGGTGTATCTGTGGTTTGCACAGGTATATACAAATTATAATTTTCTCTTTATCAATTAGTGATAACTACTTGTAAACGTTACCTTATTATTATAGGGACGAAGGTTTAATGATTCAGTGTGAACGCTGTCTTGTATGGCAGCATTGTGATTGCGTTAAAGCTGACACAAGCATAGAATCTTACTTGTGTGAGAGATGTCATCCACGTCCGGTAGATTTAGAAATCCCGTTAGAGGGAGATGAAGAAGAAGAAGGTAAAAAACACTATGTCACACTGATGCGTGGTGATTTACAACTTAGACAGGGAGATACGGTGTACGTGTTGAGGGACACTCCTGAGAAGCATACGTATAAAACCATTCAGAAACCTGATTACGAACAGATGGACATCTTCAGAATCGAGAGACTCTGGAAGAACACAGAGTAAGTTGTTTCGCGTGGATTAATTTGTTTGGAAACATTTGGAAAACCTATTACTAATGATCAATTATTTGTAATTGGACAGAGGTGAAAGATTTGTGTTTGGCCATCATTACTTGAGACCACACGAAACGTATCATGAACCGACTAGAAAGTTTTACGAGAATGAAGTCGTATGTGCGCCACTGTATGAAGCGGTACCATGTGATTTGGTTGCTGAACGATGTTGGGTTCTTGATCCCCATACGTACTGTAAAGGTGGTTATACTCATTTTTTTTTACCGATAAACATAGTTGTTCTTTTTCAAAATGTTTCATTTGTTAATATTCCTTTCTTAACGAAGGACGACCCGTGGGTTCCACGCCAGAGCACACTTACGTTTGCGAATATCGCGTCGATCGTGCTGCTCGATTATTCACAAAGGTTGCCAGAGCTAGGCATCAAGTTTGCACGAAACCTTACGCATTCGAAACCTTTCCACAGCGCATTAAGCATTATCGTACATATTTGGTAAATATCGAATTCATATTATCGAGAAAAAATAATAAGAATAGAGATTAAAAATTGTTTAAATTACAGCCTCATAGTCTCGAAGGTATTCAAGTAGGAGTTAAGATGAACAAAGAGAAAAAGAAAGCTAACAATCAGGATGTCGATAGTAATCATAAAGCGGAGTCGAATGAGAATACGAAAACGCACACTAAGGATCAACAGAAGTCTTCTACGAGTAAAGGTAGACGGCGATCGAACGAAATTTTACCTATTGCTACACCCGCTACATCGTATGCCCAGGTAAGCATCGCCCCATTCTTAATTAATACCATGTTCAGCCATACTCTTTGGTGGTTTAATCTTGTTTATTTTATACATATTGTATTGACATATTTTACGTTGATCGTTTATAGAGAGAAGAGCAAAGAAGAAGATTAAACAACATTCTAATCGGTCTATTACAAAAGATGCCGAATAAAAAGGATCCTTTAGACTTGTCGTTTTTACTAGAGAGGAACAGGCGAAATCGTAAAAGGCCAGGTGGATTAAATCCGTGACATTGGATTATACATGAACGATAATGAGGCATTATCGATACGTATATGTGTGATGTGCGTGCATGGACATACGCATATAGAGGCAGATGCACGCCCGCACATATAGGTACACATACACAAACTTTCACACTCACTCATACACAGGTAATATGTGCCACTGCTAATCTCCATTGCAGTCAAATCTGTAATCAAAGTGATCGACCGATCTATTGTTTCGTTTCGCTATACGTAATCGATGTCATTTAATCCGTTTGTATAAGGAAAACGACAAGCAACGCGTTTTCTTCTCCTTCTTACACTATGACCCGTCCATTCGTATAATTTAATCTTAAACGAGAAAGCTACTCTTCTCGAAGGACATTGTATCGATCGAGATCTTTTTATATGTTGTTTTTACATGTACGAAACTATAGAAAATTGTAGGTTGAAAAATTTTCTATAGTTTTTTGGCATCGTTTTGGATATTTTAGACTACTTTCTTCGCTTATGCTGAAAGATAGTGTCGAGAGAGATTAAAAACGACGAAAATAGAGGTTAGAATCGAGTCGAGAGAGAAAAAGGTCGTGACCTTGGATTCTTTTTTTCGGACATTTCAGACTGTTATGTCGCGTCAAATTTGTAAGTATTTCGATCGCAGAGAGATAGTCTTTGTTTTGTTTTGAATTTTCGTAAAACGGATCGACTCAGGTCGAGAGAGAATCAGGTCTCGTACGTGGAACAACGTATCTGACAAATTGGATCTAACGAGAGCTATTACTCCTAATATAATTCTAATATAATTAGAATCGCGAAATTGTATAAAAGTACTTTGTAAATTTCTTTCATATAGTGAATACACTTAAGTGTACAAATTATATATTTACTCGGGATTGAGGAAAATGACAACAGCACATCGTAAGTGAACAGTGAATTATTAAGAGAAAAAAACGAATACATGCGAGGCTTTATTGCACAAAAAGTACCATTATATTTTTCATAATCCCAGTGTTATTTGAATTAAGTGTAATATATAGGTTTTTAAATTAATAGATAAAAAAAACTTTACTAACATATTTAATTTATTAATTATCGCGATCGAGTATAGATAATTGTTGCTATAGCGACGAATATACGCAGGATTTCGTATTTATTATTACATTATACAGTTAGTAAAATACATATTATTGAAAGCTATTTAATATGTATAAGTCTTATTTACATGATATGTTTATACGTTTTTTGCACAGTGTCCGAGACGTTTTAATCGAACGAAAATGGTACTACGATTATATCCCATTTTGGTTTATTTTTCGACGTAACACGGATACATACCAATGTAGCGTAATCACGTCACAAGATCGCATGCAATGGATCTTTTATTAAGCATGACAAACGGGGGTACCTATCTTTGTACTAAGTAGAAATTCATTAATTGAACGTAGAATTTTAAATTCTAATTTATCTCCTACGAGAAGCATTGTGTATGGTTTTTACGAATGATATTCGAATTTTTTCAATGTTAACCTTTTTCCTTTTACGTAAGAGCGAGATTGATAGTACAATCGTCTGGAATTTTCTAGACTATCGATAGGTGTCTCGAACGAAAGGGTGATGTTTTTTGTGGAAATAAATCGCAAAAGTTTGATATTATTTTGCATCATAAGGAATTATTTTAACGAATCATGGTTTTCTTCTGTACGAGACAGGAAAGAAATATCGTAGAAGAGCTTACGGTTTACCCATAATCCTGCACTATAAGATATTCGCGCAATTACACGGAATGCGTTACAAATGTCATTAGATAAACTGCATCGCGTACTACATGTACATCACTTTGAATTAATTTAAACTCGTATTCGTAGAATAAACACGGTCAACATGGTCGATTACGTTGACGATTACATTAAGCGTGCGTGAAGACTGAATTACTGTTACAGGATATTTCTAGCAGGTAATTGCGCTGATCAAATCTGGGTTGTAAATAATTTAAACTCCAAATAAATAGAAGATATTTTTTATTTTTACGAATAAGTTTGTACACTTCTGTCAACAAGTAAATTCTCCGAATTACGGACTAATTCTGCGAAATTATTCTTATTTGACATTCGTATTATGAAAAACAAATTTTTGTTCGTCGACTTACGATTTAACGTAAAATTATACTTTATTATTTGATCTTGGTCAACTTCGAATCGTAGGTAGTGTGCAGCGACTGAGCATCTTCGTGTCTTTCAATTTTTCATTTTTCCAACAATTTTTCTTTTCTTTTCCTTTTTGCCTTTTTCTACATCGTTCGATGCTCGATTAGCACCTTAATTCGAAGTCTCGCAAACTGTACAAAGTATTATAGAAAAAGGAGGTACAAAGACAATCATCCTGTAACTACGAAATAACAAGCATAAAATAAAACGGGTACTATGCTTTGTTCCTAAGTTTGTTGCAGAGGAGAGAAAAAAGCGGTATGTAGTGAAGCGAAGCGAAGCAGGAAGAGGAAGGGAGGGGGAGGAGAGATAGACAGTCGAGGGGCAGGGAGGATATTGATGAGAATGAAACAGTGAGAAGGAACAGAAGTACGTTGGGTAGCAATAGCATATCCTTGATCACAGAGCAACGTTATAAAATATAAGATCCAATTCGAAAACATAATCTTGGAATCTCATCAGTTCAATAAAATGCGCGCACATATAAATCAAATCCAATAATAATTTATTCGTGACACGATTTCTTTTTTTGTACATTGTCATTAGTATAGAAAGATAAGACAAAATCATATACAATATCACTCTCGTCTCTGTTTTGTTGAGAACGAATATTTTCTTTCATTTTCTTTTTATTACATGATACTTCATTATTCATTATTAATATATAAACAGACTTCCAGTAAACGTTCCGTGTAATACGTTTGAAAATCTGTACATATTTACACGAGTTTGTTCCGAGAGCGATAATCCATTTGCAAGTATTTTAATCTTAATGCTAATTGCATAATGTACCCATACGTGACATTCTTCCTCTTGATCGTTATTTTTTTTTTTTTTTTTTTCGGTTAAAGGCGTTACAAGACGTTATTATACGTTACCCCCTTTTACTCGTTTTAAACACTACGTATGTAATACGAATACGTTTTTCGTCGTTACGTGCTTTGTCGCGATGATCAATCTCCAATCGCAATTATATAACATTATAATTCACTTAGTAATGCATTTCTTAACGCAAAACAATTTCATGTGGTGCATGTGTAACGGTGCCTTCACTCGACAAAATCTAGATTGTTGCTCGAGTTATAAAATCGCGATAACTTTGGAATTCGTACATTGCAAAATATACGAACAAAAAAATTGTGAATATATTGTCGTGGAAAAATTTGTCCATCTATTTATGTGTAATCAAAACCAATGTTCCGATATTTGACAACACAATGACCAGGAGTTTTCCATATACCCTCGTCATCTTTGCGAGTGACTATATCCCACTGTGAAATCGTTAGATAAAGCAGTTGTACTTTTCACTCTGTCTGCCTGAAAAAAAGTACATACACACACTGTTGTAAGATAAAGACGAAAACATAACACGGATAAAAGAACACAAGTTTGTATTAAACAAATTCACCTTTGCGACGAATATAAATCTGTTATGGAACACGATCATCCCCTACCTTTATCTCATGAAAAAAAAAAAGCTATTTACGCACCTTACTATTCCACTCTTGCGATATATATCCTTGTGGATTATTGTTTATTTCCAGTTTGTCCACTAGTTGTTGTAGTTTGTCCGCTCGGTTGCTGCGGACCCCAATACTGATTATAATACTGCTGATTCCAACTATTCCAGTTTCCATTACCGTAACCTTGATTATAATTGCTTTGATTGTATGATCCTTGTCCACCATAGCTCTTCCAGGTAACCCACGGTTGTGATCCCCAACTGCTTTGTTGGCCCCATCCTTCTTGAGACTGACCGCTTGCCGCCCAATGGCCTTGCTGGTTCCAAACGGACTGTTGTGATCCTTGATAATTTCTTAAAAAAGAAAGGAGAAAAGAAAAACCAACACACGTGCATATA